GAGATTTTGCTGAAAAATCACATTTGGACATGATCAAGAAGGGAGAACAATGAGCTGCGGATATAAGTAAAAAATGCATCCAGGAGCATATGTCAGATGGAGAATAAATGACTCAAGGAGGCTGAGGCAGGAGGATCACAAGTTCTAACTCAAAGCAAAAGCCCTGGGTTCAATCCCCAGTACAAAAAAAAGGCTTTTGAGGAGCGCCCTTTTCTTGGAAATACTGAATCCACAGCTTTCTTCACCTAATTCATAAAAGCAGGCTAATCAAGTGCAATAATACCCTGGTCACAGCAATATTTTCTTTTACCCTGCAGAAGCAATGATTTTCTCTAATCATACATTTAAAAGGCTAAGAAAGTCATGGAACATAATGAAACTCAGTACTGATTTTAACATGAGTACCATCAAAACATCATTTTAAGTTTAGTATTAGGAATAAATGGCTTTGTATATATATTTCTCTTAGAGTAAATGTTCATTAAGTTTTAATAACTTTTTTTTTAATGTATCTAGAAAAGCACTGTCACAATCATATTCTAACTTCAGAAAAGACCTTGTTGCTTTGGTCTTCTCTAGGTGTGGGTCACCTCCACTGCTGTTCCCAGGGCTGTTCTGGAGGATGTCATCTGGGTTGCTATGTATTTTCCCAAATGATGCTTTATCTCTTGAAAAAAAGTTTCAAATTGCAAACCTAAATTCAGTAACACATAATCAAAGCAAATATACTGTTTTCAAGTATACCACTTCATGTATATGTGCAACCCTGCCCCTCCCTCTTTTTAGGAGACTTGGAAAGTTCTTTTACATTGTTTCAATCCTATTTAAAGGTAAAGTTAAGGAAAAATGTGTTTCTTTTCAGGTAAAGCAGATGGCTCCAGGTAACTTACTCCAGACTCTTCTGATGATCATTGCACTTGAAACAATCAGAAAAGCCAAGAGAGCGCTTGATTTTTTTCTTTTTTTTTTTTTTTTATACATAGAAAAAGTGGGAAAATGTTTCCATGGTCTTACACAGCCAACTTTTAAATTAATATGCTCTCCTTATTACTTCCCCCAAATACACTCAAATTCCAACACCAATACAAAGAATACCACACCCCCCATACATAACCCATCAGTATTAGGTTTTACTGCTGTTCAAGAAGTGCCAAGTACTACATCACACAAATCCCTGTCGCATGTAGCTATTGCTCTGCCTTCCTTTGCTGTCCTTTAAAAATAAACATTTTAGTTTAGTGCATGGTGAGAGAAGACATGGGTTTAGTTTGCCTTCAGCATGTGGAAAGCCAGTTTTTCCAGCACCATTTATTAAAGAGGCTATCTTCCAGTGAAGCTTTTTGGCCCCTTTGTCAAAGATAAGGGGGCTTGTGTTTGAAATTGCTTCTGCAATCTTCTAATTTATTTTATATACATGTGTGTGATTTATTTTTTCTTTTTCCATTACCAGGATCTAACTCAGGACCTCATGCTTGGCAGGCAGGTGCGGTGGTGCCATTGACTTGCATACCTAGCCCTGCATCTTCTAAACTGTTCCACTGATCCTCGGGTCTTTTTTTCTTTCCCAAGTGATGCCCCCTGCCTTGCCTTTGTTTCCTAGAATTGTTTTTGCTATTCTGGGCCTCTTCGTGTTCCAAATGAAGTTTAGGAATGTCTTCTCTATTGTGAGGTATGCTACCGCATTAGATTAAAATAAAAATGGAGCAGGGCTGGGGATTTAGCTTAGTGGTTCTGGCACCTGCCTTGCAAGCACAAGGACCTGAGTTTGATCCCCCGGTACCCCTCCCCCAAAATATCAAAGATCTAAGTATTAAAACAGAAACACAATCTGCTGGAAGAGAGAACAGGTACAACTCTTGAAGACATAGGTATAGGCAAAGACTTTAAGAACAAAACCCCTATTACACAGGAAATCAACGAATCAACAACTGAGATCTCATTAAAAAGCTTTGCACAGCAAAAGAAATCCACAGAGCGAAGGAAGAGGCAACCAATAGAGTGGGGAAAATATTTTTGCTAGCTGTTCCTCAGACAAAAGACTAATATCTAGCTTATAAAGGAACTGCAAAAAAAAAAACAAAAACAAAAAAAACCCCAATTTAAAGACCAAATCAAAAAATGGGCATCTGAGATGAATACATACTTCTCAGATGAAGTACAAATGTCAAATAAATATATGAAAACATGTTCAACATCACTGGTCATTTGAGAGTTGAAAATTAACCCTGAAAGCCCATCTCCCTTCAGAAATTATGGCTCTTATCAAGAAATCAACCAATAACAAATGCTGGCAGGGCTGTGGGGAAAAAGGAACCCTTCTCCACTGTTGATGGGAGTGCAGACTGGTACGACTGTGAAAATCATTGTGGAGATTCCTAAGAAAACATCTAGAGGTTCCATTTGCCCCAGTTATCCTCCTTCTTGGTATCACACAACAGTGATATATGTACACATATGCCCATAGCAGCAGCTTATAATAGCTAAATCTTGGAAACAATCCAAAGGCCCACCAACTGATGGATAAAGATTTTTTTTATATACAATGGAGAACCACTCAGCCATAAAACATGATAAATGAGACATTTCTAGCTAAACGGATACAACTAGAGACCATATTTTAAATGAAATAAATCAGACACAGATTTGTAAATACCACTTTGTTTCTCTGGTGTGAGAAGCTGTAAGTGTAAAAAAGGACAAAAATGTATAACAGATAATGTGAAATAATAAAAGTTCAGACGGGAAGGGGTACTCAGGAGGGAGGAGAGGGAAAGGAAGAAAGAAAAGGGAAAAAATGAGAAGAGACGAAAGCAACAAAGCTTTTGTAAATAAGGAGGGGGAGAAGGGCTTAAGGGGGAATGGGAAAAGAGAATTAAGATACATCATGTACAGGTATAAATTCCATATGATGAATGCGATCATTATGTATATTTAAATTGTACCAATAAGCTTAATAAAAATTTTGAATGTTTCAAAAATAAAGTGGATGTGGTTTTCCAAGGGGAATCTTCCTAGGTGACTACAGCCAATCTGTCAACTATCAGAATGGCACTTCTCACTGTGAAGTACTCAGATATGTTTAATTATAAAATATGTACATTTGAAAGATAACTTTCAAGACAAAACCCTGTCAGTTCCCTCCCTCTTCCTGGAAAGTCAAAACACATCATTCCGCATTGGGCTCCTGTTTTTCTCAACAAAGACCCCCAAATATGTCAATAAATCCAACTCACAGTACTCAGTCGCCTATGGCGTTTGTGGCATAGAAAAGACTCAAACACCAGGATCACTTCTCTGTTTCTTTTTTTTTCTCTCTCTCATTGAGTTTATTGGTACATTTTAGGTATACAGTACAGTTACATTCATTATTGGGATCTTGTACCTTTACATGATGGCTTGGTTCTCATTTTTTCCCCTTGTCCCTGCCCTCCCTTCAGCCCCTCCTCCCCTCCCCATTTATAAACACTTTATTTCCATTTTTTCATCTTCTATTGTTTTCTTTTCCCTTATTACCTTTCCCCTACCCTTCCCACTTTCCCTACACCTTTAGCCCTCTTCTTCCTATTTCACATTGTCAATTATCTCATTAGGATCTCATGTACTATTACAGTTTATCCACACCAGAGAAACTATTGGTATTTACACATATGTGACTTATTTCACTTAGGAGTATATCCTCAATATATATCCATTTTCCTATGAATGAATCTAATTTCTCATTCTCTATGGCTGAGTAGTACTCCATTTTATAGAAAAACCACATCTTCTTTATCCAGTTTCCAACTGATGGGCAAATGGGCTGTTTCCAAGTTTTAGCTATTACAAAGTAAATTAAAATCCAAGTGGATGAAAGATCTAAATATTAAAACAGAAACGCTAAACTTGCTGGAAGATAGGCAGAACTTTGGAAGACATTGGCATAGGAAAAGACATTATGAACAAATCCTCAGTAGCACAGAAACTAGCAGAAAGAATCAACAACTGGGATCTCATCTTATTAAAAAGCTTCTGCACTGCAAAAGAAACCATCAAAAGAACTAAGAGACAATCTGGGTTTCTTCTTCCTAAATACTGGTATGGTTTTGTTCTTTGCTTCTAGTCTCTTTGGTGGTATTCAATATTCTCCCATTTCCAGTGAAAAATGATTATGTAAGCAGGCATACTGGCACACACCTGTAACTTCAGCACTCTGAGAGGCTGAGGTAGGAGGACCGCAAGTTTGAGCCCAGCCTGGGCAACTTAGTGACTTAGACCCTATCTCAAAATAAAAAATTCAAACGGGCTGTGGATATAGCTCAGTGTAAAGACCCTGACTCCAGTCTCCCATACTAGCAAAAAAGGAGAGAGAAAAAAGAATGAACTTGGATTCATATAAAATTTTAATTTATTCCATATGTTATATAGCAGCTTCAAGTAACTTATTTACTGTTTTCTTTTGAATTGTGAAATCAAGTCTTGTTATAACTTAATTTTATAAAAATATCAACCTCAATTATTTTTCTTAACAATGTTAAAACATTCAACTACTGAAACCTATTATAAAGTGAAAAGTTGAGCTGACTTTTGAACTTTTCAAAGATACAAAACACAGTAAGGGCTAAACATATAGGAATTCATTTTGTGAACAATGAAAACTTCTCTAACAGCCAAGCACAGTAACATATGCAACCCAGCAGCTTCTCCTGACCCAATGGACCTGGGTGCAGGCTCTGCAGTGCTCCATCTGGTCACACAATCCACGTGATGGAAGATGGGGCTGCTGAGGCTCCCACACCAGCCCCTTCTCAGGGAGAGCTTGCTCTGGTCTCTCCCAGGGCTCTGACAAATGATACCCAGATAGACTTCTTGGCTGTCTCCTTAGAACTGAAAGTTTATGAGATGTAAGTTTGGGGCAGAAGATTCTCAGGTTGTCTTCTAATTCATGTTTCTTTTCTGCTCTAGAGAAAACACGTAATTTTAGAAAGCGATGTGGATTGGCTCAAGTTGACAGCAAGTATGGCAAGGCTGGATAATCTTTCTCAACTTTGGCCCCAGCTAGTGTCACGGCCTTCCCCTCAGGAGGCGAATGTCTCATGGAGGAGAGGCAGAGGCACAGTTCTGTCACTATAGGTGACTGTAAGTGAACTTGAGATCCACAGAAACCTTCAGCAGTTATGGCTGCAGCTGACTGGGGCCAGATACAACAGCAAGGGCTGCTCTGTTTCTGGTGGCACGAGTGCGTGTGTGTGTGTGTGTGTGTGTGTGTGTGTGTGTGTGTCTATGCTTGTGTTTAACAGCATCTGAAGACTATGCTTCCCTTTTAAATAAGTGGAAAGCATGCTCAACATGGCGCCCGACACTGGAAACATCAGAGAGTGTATATGCACTGAAACCCTGACTAGGAATTGAAACGGATAACACATCCCCAAATTTCTTTTCCAGAGTAACTCCTATAAAACAATAAGCCTTTTCATAGTAGATTATTTTCCAAACTCTCACAAAGGTACTTACTCTCTCAGTGACTGCAGCACACAAATATAAAAATGATGGCTTGGAACCATTAAAATATCCAGGACAGGATGCACACCATGATGAGGTTCAGTTATTTCTATTGTTAGTAGTTAATTCAGAGACATAAAATAAAACCATACCAAGAACTGGATAAATACATGGACATTTAACATTGTTATCACCTTTTAGTCTGATGACGCAGGGGCCTTCACTTGTGCTGGGAGCCCAGCACCCGCTTGGGGGCATCACCAGGTACGGCAGCAGAAGGGACATTACACTTGAGGGGGCAGCAGTGGGCTGGGACAAGCCCTTCCGCTCCAGTGTCCTCAGCATCACACAGAAGCATTACTCACTAGTGACTGACAACTGAGTCAGCACCCAGTCAATCCCCTGGACACATCCATTCCTCAGCACTGTCATTTAAAAATAAAGCCTATTTTAAATTATACTCAAATCTAAAACTGAGCAGTTCGTTCCCTTCTTTTACACTGCTGATGTGTTTCCCAGGGTAACGCAGAGGGACAAAAATGCCCATCTCACAGCTGCTGGCGGTGGGGACCAAGGCCAGCTCACCTCTGCTGTGCAGTGACTGGAGCCTGCCGGGCATGCTGGCTGCTTTCCTTCCGGGATTCTTGCAGCAACAGCCCATCCCACACACCCCGTCGGGACCCCCGGAACAGACCTATGGAGGCAGGTGGTGCAAGTGAAGGCTCCCAAAGCCGCCTGTCGGGACACATCTCACCTTCCACCCCGGGATGACGGGGGATCACTTAGGGTGTGTCCTCAGGAACACCACTGCCCGTCTCCCCCAGGAGCTGGGTGCCAAGACCTAAATGAACAAAACATGACTAGGTGGAAGGTAACCCACTCCCTGACGTGGAAGTACGTCAGCCTCATCCTGGAACGTCTAAGATATATCTGATGTCAGACATACAAGTTTCAGTGGTAAGTAGGAACCACTTCAAGTTCTAAGTTCACAGATACCAAAATAAGTACAAAGAGAAAGAGCAGTCATTTCTTCAGTAGTTCCTAATGAGGACAGACGCTGTCCAGCAGCAGTGTGAGGCTAACACAGCCAAGTACAGTCCCACTCCTGCAGGGACATCAGCATCCCAGTGACCTGCCCTTGGCTCGGTGCCTGTTCCATCCCAGCTCTGGCTCTTCCGAGGATCTGCTCGTGGCTGAGGACTAGTGCGGTCTCCTGGAATCCCTGAATCAGAGGCCATTGCTATTTCTGTGACACAGTGGTGGCTTGGACAGTTCCACCACACCTGACCGGGCCTTGTTGAGGAATTTGGGAGCTCGGCGCAGCAACCGCTGGGCCTCTGTGAAAGTCTCAGTCAGTTCTTTCTTCCACTGTGCAAATTCTGGGTCGCTCTGAAGGGAAAAACCAACATGAGAGTTGGGACATGTTCATCCATCTTGCCAACAGGAACCAGGCATGACTAATGTCCTCAACTTCCTAAGAGCTGGTCTCGAAGCTGGGTGAATAGAGGAGAGGGACCCACCAGCGGACCCTTACCACAAGTCCCTGCAACCTCCAGATGAGAATCTCTGCCTTGGATTTGACTATGGACTACCTTTGATTTCTAAAGCAAGTACAGTCTATAAAATAACATTGGGGGGGTTCTGACCAAGTAAAAAGTACCTCCATGTGTGTAAGGTAGTAATGAAGTTATTAAAGATGTGTCTAGAGCTGGGGATGTAGCTCAGTGGTTCTGCCACCTACTTCATAAGTGTAAGGTCCAGAGTTTGATCCTGTGAGACTCAGTCTAAAATAAGAGGAAGGATGGGAGTGTAGCTCAGTGGCAGAGCACCCTTGGGTCTCATCCTCCATAGAGCATGCATGCATTCATGAATAAATAAAGATGAATTCAGGTTTATATAATACAATTTTGAGCAAAAGAAAGCATTTTCTCCCAGAGAAGTCACATAGACAGCTTCATGATAAGGTAACTTATTTCACATACTACCCCCTTCCATTTTCTAAAACTTGCTTCTTTAATAAGTAATTATTGAGCTGGGCGTGGTGGCAAATGCCTGTAATCCCAGCACTCAGGAGGCTGAGGCAGGAGGATTGCTGTGAGTTCAAGACCAGTCTGGGCTATATAGTGAGTTCCAGGTCAGTCTCAACTACATAGTAAGACCCTGTCTCCAAAA